ATCTCAAGGTACGGAGATCTTTTACAGCTACACTCTGATCAAGGTAGAGACTTCAATTCTGCAGTTTGGAGATCGTGTGAGATACTTGGCATCGATAAAACCTAGACAACAGCTTTACATCCTCAGTCTGACGGTGGTAGAGAGGTTCAATTGGACCATCCTGAACAGCCTCTCTCTCATGGTATTCAGTAATCAACAGGACCTGGACCAGAAACTACCTTTTTTCCTGCTTGCTTAAAGGAGTGCCATTCACAAGACCACTGGCTTTTCCCCAACCCAGATGCTCTTCGGATGCAATCTTCATCTGCCTGCAGATCTTCTGTTCAGTCGGCCACCAGATGCCCCCTTGGTGCCTGAGGAGTATGTCGAGAAACTCTAGGCACAGATGGAGGAAATGCATCATCTTAGCTAGGGATAGAATCGGCATGGCTTCAGAGAAGATGAAGATCCGATACAGCGCAAGAGCAACAAGACACGACTTTCCCGAAGACAACAAAGTGTGGTTATGGAATCCGAAATGTCGCAAAAGACTCTCTCCGAAGCTGCAGACCAACTGGGAAGGTCCTTACACAGTTCTAAAAAGACTGAATGATGTTGTGGTTTGGATACAGAAATCACCACACACAAAACCAAAGGTAATACATTACAATAGGCTAGCCCCTTATCTTGGCCAAGATGAACACGATCTTTAAGTTCAGACCATGGTCACTAACTATTTTGTAAATTATTTCTCTTTTCTTAGTTTTATTTCAGTGGTGTAATTTATTTTTGTATCTGTGTTTATGTATTTTGGATTTATTTGCTTTGTTTGTGCTGTTAAGTATTTGTTACTTTATATTTGATTATTATGTGAGTAGATTATGTCTGTAAATAGATGCCTCTTATTTAGGGATTGTACTGGCCAGGATGTGCAGTCTTTGAGAAGGGGGAAGTATTACGAATTTTGTGTAAATAGTATTCATAATTTGTATTTGGATGAGTAATGTACTTATATTACCCTATGTTATATTTGTTATAATATTTGTAAGCAAGGCCATCCCTTAGATTATACTGGCGATTCAATGGGAGCTTGGTGAAATCTTGGCGCTAGAGCTATTGGCGAGTTCGGGACCTTCTGGATTCTTCTAGAAATTAGTGGAGAAATCCACTTATTTCACGATCTATGACACAAGCAAATCTTTCTTGAAATATCCGCCATGGCTATAAATAGAGCGATACTCGATGAAATGAGTCAGTCTGGTTTTGACTAGCAATTAATAAAATTGCCCTGACCAGAATTAGCTTGAGTGTGCTTGCGAATAATTTTTTTACATACACGTATTTTAGACATTGATAATTGAGTCTGAGTGCTAATGCAGGTGTGAAGACCTTCTGAAATTTATTCTGTGGATTTTGCTGTTGAATCCTGTATTTTAAAGGATTGATTATCGACAATAAATTCGCAAAAATCTTAAAGAACTGTCTTATTGTTTGCGACTATTTTGCATAAAATCCTCGAATTCCGATCAATGTAACTGATTTCCTTTTTTTATATAGATGGTTTTAGCAAAATAGATACAAAGTTAATTTGTCATTTGCTTGCAACAGTTGCTATTAGGCAATGGAATTACAGAGTCTAGCTTACTCACTCACCAATTAACTCAATGCTTAATTATCTCTATAATTATTTATTAATTTTTAATGTTTGGCATGAGGAGATACACATCTCATTGTGGAGTATACACATAGCTACTTTCATAAATAAAACATTATTGATCTAATTTATACTTATTAATTATGGATCAATATATACCTGGATCTAAACCTGGATTTCCATATTGGATGTCAATATTTGAAAAAATGTCCTCTCCATCATCTGAAATAATAAAATTTTATAACATATACTTTTGATATATCTACAAATATCAAGGGGAATATTTTAAGCACTGTAAAATCCGGCATACAGCACACACTTTTAACACACAGAATAAGATCAAAATTTGTGAGTGCACATGTCATAAAAATGATAGCTTTAAAATTTTTTAAAAAAATGAGAATAAAAAATTAGACTTCTACATATTAAGAAATACTATTTATTCAAAAGAAATGACATACTTATGAACTTAAAGGGTTGTAATTCCACAAGAAGTACAATATATTTTCAAAAGCTTGGGATATACCTCCAAAAAATGACACCAAAACATAGAATATTGCCCACATACATTTCAAATTTCTTCGTTTAAAAGGGGTGTGTGCATTATGTGGGGGTGAATATACCTAATGATTTTTAAAAATGCAGTTTGAAAGTATAAGTGTACATGTTCTGTACTCAGATATATATAGATATAATATACACAAATATAATTTGAAAGGGTTAATATGAATTGATTGCCCTATATAGCATCTAACTGAAGGAATAAATTTTAATAATGATGATTATAATTGACTAGAGCAGAGATGGCAATTGCAGAAAACATGTGCCAAGTTGGCATGTCAAAATTTTTTTTTTAAGCACATGCACACAAAAATAGAAATAATAATAAAATTTAAATGAAACAAAAAATGTTTTTTAAAAATAAATATGGTTATTTTACTATAAAGTTCAATGCAATAGGATAAAAGATAACAGATATAGCCCATAGTAAATAGACAAAACGTGACAGTATATTTTGGATTGTGAGCTGAATGTTTTTTGTCTGTAGGTGTATTTGATATTTAATTGCAAAAATTTGTACTGGAATTTAAATTTTAAAAAAAAGCAAATGTGCTTCACAGACATAACATTACTTTTAAATAACCGTAATAAAAAACTGAAAAGCTGTGAAAAAACTATTAAGGTTATATTTGGACTGATAAAGAGGTTTTAATGTAAATTGGGATTGTATTTTTTTTTTAACTTACTAGATACATTAAATCTGAAAATTTTAGTAATTTTCTGAGACTTTTTAGAACAAATCAACAATTGTCAAAAATAAAAATAAAATAATAAGTAAATAAAAACTGTTGAAATTTTAACTATTAATTTTGAAAAACTCTTTGCTTTCTCAAATGAGCTATTTTCAAATAGATTTAAAGAATCTAAAAGCTATGGAAAACTGAAGATTTTATATAAACCTATTCAACATTAAGGATTTCCCTAGAAAACACATAAATTGGAAAGAATTCAAAACTTTTGAAATGCAAATTACAGATGTATCATAAAAAATACATAAAAACAACAACAACTGAAACATTATCGAATGGGGAATTGAAGGAAATCTAAATACCTTAATAAAAAATCAATACCAAAAGTGTGAAATAGTATGCTAGATGCCATTTGCAACTGCTTACTCTTATGAAAGTCTCTTTTTGGTACGCAGATTAACATAGAATGATTCAGCAGTAAAAACACCTTACCTCATAATCAACACCTTACCTTGCAATATCAAGTTGATTTAAAAATTCTTGCTAATAACACGAAGCAAAAAAAAAAACAAAAAAAAATGTAACAAAATCATAAGTTAAAAATTTACTTCACATAAATTAAACATTAAAATATAATTATTTTAATGGCATTTTTGAACAAATATTGTAATTTCTCTATTTTTTTTATTTATTACAAATAAAAACTATATAGGAACTACATGCATAGGTATACACAAAAATATAAGCACCGAAAAAAAATTTTGCATTTCAATTTAATTTTGGAACTTTGATAAAATCCTACTTGCCTCCCTAGACTAAAGGTTAAATTTTGTTGCCCATCCGGTATAGTGGTTAGTGCCGCTGGCCGCTGTGCTGTAGGGCCTGGGTTTGAATCCCGAAGAAGACATGGATGTTTGTAAATGTATAGTGCCTTCGCGGCATGGGGGTGCTCTAAATAGCCGTCGAGTCGAAAGTCCTCTCGTGTGGTTGGTGGAAGGGGAAGAGAGGTGGCTGACCACTCCTAGGGTGTTCTCCCTCAAAATTGGGGAGGAATCGAGCCAAAATGTACTGTCGCTTGCATGGTGCTCAAAGCTACGGCTAACGACAGGCGTACAATATAGCCCGATGCCATGATGAATTTTGTGGGCCTCGATCTGACTACATCAGACAGGTGGCATTAGCAACAACAACAAAGGTTAAATCTACCTGGAATCTCTACTTAGATCATTTATCTGTTTACCCAAGAACTATTTTTATCCAGATAATTTTGTTTTTAACTCTTCCATTAACAGAAAAAACAAAATTAAGTTTTTTTCTGATATAAATTTTACTTTATGAAAATGACAATACTTTCTTCCACAATACAATACATCTTGAAAAGACAGGTTTTCATTTTTGATAAAAAAAATAAAAATCCTAACTTTTATAACAATTGAAACAAAAAAAATCTTGACTAATACGAAAAGCTGCTCATGAATTTTAAACAATTATCTTTTGACTCTTATGAGTTTAATCTGAGTAATATTGGCCTATATAGGAGAATAAAAAAATCAATATACAGTAAATATTCACCTATGTATCTAAGCAATAATAAAATACATAGGTGGAATAATACTTATTTCATGAAAATTGTATAGCATCCATTGGAATGAAATATGGGTACAAAAAATAAGAAGACAATGAGAAAAATATTCATGTCAAGCTGAAGAATGTTACCTATATGTCAATTTTTAAATAATTTTCAAAAATTATAAAAAAATTATACTTTTATATATTTTTTAAGTGGATTTATTTGAGGAAACTACAGTTTGATCAAAAGACATGCTCTAATTATTTTTAAACCACTAATTTCCAAGAATAAATTAATCCAGTTTAGATTAAGCCATATAATAAAATAAATGTACAAATAAATTTTCAAATTCAGAAATAGATTTAAGCAAAAGATTTTTTTTATTTCCCACTTTTACAAAATACGAACACTTATTGCCCGTTTTACTTTCTTCAATTAACAATGATAAAACTTAGTTCACATGAAGAATAAACACAACAAAATTGATTTTTTAACTCTTTGCTTAAAATAAATATTGCCAAATAAATGAAGAATTGCTATCATTCACCATAGCTCAGTCGTTAGAGTACCAGACTGGGGATCTGTCGATTGCTGGTTCAATTTCCAGCAAGTGTGTTTCATCCAAAGGCTAGAATTTTAATTTAAAAATATTATTTCTCTGGAATCTGGTTGATTCTAGAACTTTCTTTACTATTCAAGCCAGATATTTCTTGTATGTACATAAAATAGATGGAACCGGCGCCACTGCATGTGCTTATACCCCCAGTTATTTCTTGAATATTCTTCTAGGTATATAAAAGCCGTCCCTCCAGTTGAGGGGAGTTCTCTGTTCTGATCTAATAAATATGTGTTAAACCTAACTGTGTGTTTATCTCAATCTTTGTGGCAATATAAAAACTTAAGAACAAACTCTATAATCTAAGGAAATACTTCAAAATCTTAGTTTGGGTTTTTTTTATAGAAAAAAACTTGAGATTAAATCCAACGTGACATGAAAATGCAGATATGAACAAGTTAAGATACAGAGGAAAAGATATGAAGTTTCAAAATCTCTAAATCAAATTAGGAAGAGAAGAAAAAAAAAATTGGACTCATGCAATTTTATTATTTTTTAAAGTAGTTCACTTATGATATCTTATATTTAAAAATTTTGTTTCCAGAATTGAAACAGCTTTATCACAAATTTATAGTTTAAATCTTGTAATATTAATATAAATTATGAGAGCTTTGAAATAAAAAAGATTTTATTTCCAATTTGTATTTTGATCAACAGAAATGATATTGAATATGACCAATGATTTTGGACAACCTTTTACCACATTTGAATATCAGATCTGAGATCAAATGAACATTCATTTTTTACAAATACTTTGAAAACTACTTAACTACAGTTAATCTTAAATTTTCTACCTTTTCAGCAAACATTTCACACCTTCTAACAGTATTATTACTTAAAATGACTAATTATATAATACATTTTAAGGTAGCATATTTAACATTCTTCTTAGTATGGCATACTATTTGATCTTGCATTCTTTACAATTCTGTGCAATCTGAGTTTGAATTTCATTTTCAAACAGTCAATATTATTCCAAAAGAAAAAAAAAAGAAAGAAAGCTTGAATTATAAAAATTTACTTATAACTGCCTAGGCATTAGTAACTCACCATCATCCATATATTCATCTTTTGGACCAGGATTTAGAGCTGAGCATTCTTTTATGGCTGTGAATACGGCCTGCACTGAAAAAGAATGCAACAAGCTTTTAAATAAAAACAAAACATAGAGAGGGAGATGTAATACAATCTATATTTAAACTGTGGTCTTTTTTTCTATGTTAATTAATATTTTAGTAGCTTTTTAGTTGAAGCTTGCTAAAAACACAATTTTTAGCACACAAAAGACAAAATAACTTAAAATGGGTTTTTAAATGCTAAATTAATTTCTTGAAGAAATAAATTTTTTGAGAAAGGATTTAAGTAATGAATTGATATTTCACAACAAACCAATTCAATAGCTAAATTGTCTAAAGAAGCACAGAAAATAAAAACATCCAAACTAATTATAGGCAATGAAAATTTAAACAAAAAGTGATTTTTTATCATTTTGGAATACATCTACCATTAAAAATTATAAGACACATAAAATTGTAAAGGTGTTATAAGAATGCAGTAAGAAATTAAAACAATTTTTCATACATTTCAATTTTCACTTAAAATATGGAAACACTTATTAAATATTTCTCAAGACATTCAGAAAATTAACTGTAGTTATTTTGAGACTAGTTATTGAGTCTATGTTATTTAGTAAATGACTTTCTTGGACAAATTCTTGCACACATTTTTGAAACTGATGATTAGAGCCATAAATAATAAATTCTTTGTAGCTGCATTGAAAATTTCAAAAATTATTAAGAGCATCAAAACTTTCATAGGATAATTACTTAAAATAATTTGCATACAGTATCTTTTTTTTCACATATTTTTCTTTTAATGATCCAATTCCATTTTTTGAATACATTTATATTTATACATACAAAAAAATTTCTTGGAACAATTTATAATCAAATCTGTATAGTAAATAATTCAAGACACCCTTTAATTCTCCTTTTATACTTTTTTCCCCTTGCAAATAAAGTAATAACATACACAGGGTGACTCAAATATGAACAAACTTTTGTAAGAATGATACAACTTAAAATCAAGCTAAAATCACATAGGAAATTATGAGCAAAATGTTATCCAAATAAGATAAAAGATGCAGATATGATTAGTCAATCAATACCAGGAAATTTTTTTATTAAATTATTACCTTTTATTTTGTATTAGTACATATGTAATTTTGAAACAATTGTTCAAAGTTGATATCATTTACAGCTTTGAAAGCCTCACAATAACAATCCACTGAATGATACACTTTAAAAAATACTTTGCATTTTGTAAATATTTACAACAAAAATGGAGATTATTTACTCAAAGTCTATTGCACTTGTGTAATAGTTCAAAACGATTGCGTTTTGAAATTCCTTCACACCCAAATTATCGAGTATCAAACATGCATGTATCTGCTAAACAGAATATTATACACAATACTGCAAAATGAACTGGATCCCAAATGTGCTGGAACCAAATTAGTCAGTGAACAGTCCAATTTGGATAGTGTCTTCAAGAAATGTAATATATATAGCCAATCAATGGAAGATATGGCCATTTACATACAACACTTGTTCATACATATTTATGATTAACTGTTCTTGAACAGCATATGGTCTTAATACATTGTCATGAGTCCACATAAGGAAAAGTACTGATTAAAAAAAATTTCTTCATAAATGGAAGAAGCTTTTTATCTGAGATCATACCATAAGTTGGAAAACCACATTTCATTAATTTTGTAACAGCAAGGAAAGTCCATGCATCTAAGAGTGAACAATTAGATCTATTACAGAACATACAAATTTAAGGGAGTTATATGTAATGTGAAGATGCTATAGCATGGTAACAGTTAATATGTTCATAACAACACAATGTCTCCTCTTCAAAGGAAGGTGTGCATGTTATTGATGGCAACTCAGTATCATGTCTACAACTGCAGTGTGCTCTATATTCACAAAATTTTTTTATATGAATTATTGCTCCACAGATGATTATGCAAAGGCCTGTTCATTGAACTGTTATTAACTGTTATTAACATTAACTGTTGTTACTGTTCATTGAACGAGAGTAAGTCACAAAAGCATATGGCAGGATTTAAAGTAGTTAGAGATATCTCCAAAGAATCGTGATAGATGGCAGTCCCATACAGCTTTATGATATTCAATTAATAGAGTAGGTAGCATTCACACATGTACATAATACAGTTTCAAAAATGGCGCTGAATGATTGTAGGATAGAAGAGCAGTTTGCTGTAGCCTCATTTTTGTGGGCAGAAAGATATGAATAAAAAATATTCATTAAGAAATGTTACATGTTTATGGAATGAAGTATGTATCATGTAAAGCAGTGTACAATTAAGAGGAGAAATTTCCACAAAGTCATCATAAAATTGTTGATGAAGATTGAAGCATCCATCCAGTTTTGATAGCAACAAAATCAACTGAGCAACATGGGGAAGAATAGATTCAGACTCATCAAAGGGTGACAATTGACAGCATCGCAACATCAATAAGATGTTCTCCTGGTTTAGTATACAGCAAAATGCATGATCATTTGAATCTTCAAAAAGTGAGTGCATGTTGGGCCCTCGACAACTGACAGAGGAACACAAAAAGAATTGCTGGCAACACATCTTTTGCAGCATGTTACTGAAGGTTAAAACATGCTAATAGAAGAATACTTGGTGATCAATCTTGAGTCCATCACTACTAACCTGAAACAAAATAGTTCAATTGCATTGATGCACATCCTTCTTCCCCTTCCAGCAAAAAAAAAAAAGTAAACCCTCAGCTGGTAAGGTTGTAACAGGTCTATTCATGTATACCCTTTACTAATCCTCTAGGGGAAATTCTATTAATTTAAATATTGTTCAATTGAAAACTTTCTCCCAAAGAAGATGCAATATACATAAATCATGTCATATATTTAAGCATTAACTTTTAGGTTCGAAGAGAGAGAGGTTAGGAGTTAGATGATAAAAGTTTGAGATTAACGTAAAGTAATTGAAAGTTAGACGAGAGCAGTCGATAAATTGATATATAAAATTGATAACAGACAGTTCAGTCAATACGATATTGAAATTAGATTCTAATAAACTAGAAGTCGATTATTAGAGATAAGAGTTATTATTTCCAAACATGACTATTTATAATTAAATATATCTCATCTTTCCGCTTTAAAAATTAAATATATTGCATTTCCTTCCTTGGATTTGTTAGATTTATAAAAGGATAAATAAACTATATTTGTTTCAATTATGGCCAGTGTTCATTTTGACTTCCAATCATTAAGAGATTTCAGCGAGAACTTCTTAATGATTGGGAGTCAGAATGAGCTATAAAAGAACATTACAGTATGACTGAGCATTCACATTTTCACTTTTTTTTTAAAGTTGGCAAGTATCACTCCTTTGTGATCCTAAAACACTGTAAGCATAACCTTGTAAAGCTTTGGACTGTCATTCAGAGGAAATGTCCAGGCCTATAAAGCAGAGGAGTGAGGAGTACAGGTTCTTCACAGCATCCTCATTCAGCTCAATTCTCGGGATATAATTCAACAATTTCGTTTGGAAAAAGCTACAGCATCCTTACCTAAAGCCCAGACAGCCTCAAGCGATTTTCATCTGTTTGGTCCATTGAAGCATCTTGGAAGCAAACAATTTGCAGATGACAACGACATTCAACATGAAGTCTTACTGTGAATGAGATAGCAACCCAAAGAATTTTAGGGCCGTGGGTAGCCTAGAGGTTAGAGCGTCGGACTCCAGACCGGAAGGCCTGGGTTCGATGCCCGATGCCACCAAATGCCCGCCGAGTACAAAACGGAGAACGTGCTCGTTAAATCTGTGGGTCTGAACGGTGTCGCCATCTATCGTGTTGCATGAGCAAAGTCGCACTGTCGCCTTCTTTGGGGGCTCAAAGCTTAGGCTAACGACAGGCATAAAATTCTAGCCCTTAGC